GTCGTACCAGGAGTCTTGTCAGTCTCGGAAAACACGGTTGGCGAGTCCAGAACGGAGTGATGAGGAGGATCCGACATGGCTCCTGTTCTATTTTGGACAGGACCCACGGGGTGGGGAAGATTGGCGTATGCCAGAAGGCCCGACCAGTCGACCTGTAGGGCGTCTGTCGCCCATGCCCGCTGGGTGAAGGAACCTAGAGCAAAATGTCGGGAGATGGGTATTGTCGGCAGATGCAAAGAGGTCGATATGAGGACGTTCGACCTCTGCAAAAATCTGGCTGACCGTGTTCGGATGAAGAGTCCACTGTGTCAGACGGACAGTGCCCCGAGGGAGTGCTTCTGCTATGCCATTGCTTGTTCCCGCTAAGTGTACAGCCTGGACGAGGTCGACCAGGCTAGCCAGGAGATGAAGCCAGGCTAATGCTGGAGGAGCCTCAGACAAGAGAAACTGGAGGACACACTGACGCAGATTGAGGATGCACTTTGGCGTCGGAGCTGCTATACCTTTGTGGAGGTCGGGGATCGCTTCAAGGTAGGTCGGCCTCTGTGATGGGTTGAGGGCCGACTTCTTGTAGATGATGAGAAACCCCAGGGTGAAGGTGAGGGGAGTGTATGCCTTGGGTCTCGTCAGGGGAACAGCTGATGATTAATCAGTCGTCTAGGTATTGAAAGATGAGAACGTCGTGCTGTCACATATGGGCTGCGAGTGTCTTGGTGACCCCGATGAAGACCCTTGGTGAAGTGGGGAGGCCGAACGGAAGAGCTCGAAACTGGTAGCTTTGGCCGCAGTATTCGAAGCGAAGGATTTTGCAGCGGGCGAGACATGGCTGGAGTCTTTTAGGAGCAGTAGGGGCGGAGCTCGACTAATGTCTCGGTGGAGGAGCCACTAGTTCATGAAGTGAGATTTTCTTGGTGGTCTCGATACGCTTCACCCCTGACTCAAGGACTTCGGTAAATTTCCCGGCGAACAAATCGTCTCTGAGAAGCGGCATATCCAGCAGGTTTTTCTTGACTGACTCATAGGGAATGTGTGCATGGCGTCCAACGCGTTGGCTCTGCGGCTGGAAGTGGCCAAAGGCAAAATGCGGGTGAACTGTTCAAAGACGGAATTAAGTCCCTAGTCGAGCCCTTGTAGGGCAAGGGCCGCAAAATCAGGTGAGACCGGAGAGTCCTTCTCGCAGGCCGAAGTGAGAAGCCATATCAAGGCGACAGAGAACTGAGTCGAAGTTGGCCCTGTCTGAATTCCAAAAGGTGTTGTGTTTGCCGGAATTGGACGAAATCTTGTATCTGGCAGCGTAAGGGATATCGGGGGGGGGGACAGGAAGCGAGAGACGTCCTCCTGGGGAAAACGGTAGTAAGATATAGTCCTGGGAGAAGTTGCGCGCCAGCGGGAAGACAAGCTCAGCTGACTCGAGGCGTGAAGGGTGACGCTTGAACGAAGTGTGCCCTTTTCTGCAGGAGTAGAGTCTGACGATGGGAGCCCAAGAACATGGATCATGTTGCGCTCAGGAAGGCGGAGGGGGCCCTCGGGTTGAGTCAGGCGGGCAATAGAGTCAGTGTCATCATCCACAGAAGAGAGCAGTTGAAAGCCTGCGGAGGGGAGAGCCGAACCGTGTTCCGAACAGACAGAGTCACCACAATCTGAGACATGATCCGGAGCCGGGTCCCGCGGGGGAACGGTTCTGGCTGGAGAACAGAGACCACTTCAGCCTCAGAGAATGCCCTTTGTGAGGGAGGAGGGACGAATACTGTCGCCGCTGGCTGCGGCTTGAAGTCTATCTTGCAGGCTAGAGAGGTGAAGGCCTCCGAGAGGGACTGGAGGGTCGCCATCCACAGGGTGGATCCGGATTGGAGCGAGATTTCTTCTTAGCCTTGGACGAGGAAGAAGAAGCCGAGGAAGATGTCTTGGCCTTGCGCTTCTTGTGGGGGAGCTGGAGGCTGGAACGGTTGGAGGTGCAGTGTGGTGGGGGTCCCCCCGAATGGCCTGTCGTATCCTACGAGGAGTGTCCCAGGTCAGTATTGGTGGCCTTATGGCTGGAGTCCACTGGCAGACCGGAGCTGCGGACGGGTTGTGGCGGCCAAAAGCCCCAGCGGCGTAGCAGCAAAAGCAAAAGGGCTGACATCATCCGATAAAACGGGAGGCTGAGCGCCGTGTTGTATTGCAGACTCGCCTGTGGCAGAAGCAGTTGGGATGTGGTAGGTAACAACGCCCGGTACCTGCAGCCTAGAGAAAGGAACAGCTCATTCTCTGGTCAACCTTGATCAAGGGTAGTGTTGCGGCATAGCAAGCTCAACCTGGCCTATTCATCCCGCCGGGTCTTTCCCTCCCACACGGCTGTTAATCTTGGATAACGCAAAACCACACCACAAAGAGCGGGACAGCCCACCAAGCCCTGCCTCACGGCCAGACCCTCATAGCATTGGGCCGTTATTGTTCGAACGTATCCACCAAATTGAGAACAGAGGGCTGCCTGGGAGCCCGCTCAACGGCCATACACAACACACTGTGACTGTTGGTCACATCCAAACCGGTAAGTAATGCACAGAAAAAGGGGCAGAAAAGAACAGCAAAAATACGATGATTATACTGAGAAATTTTTGTTGCGCGTCTACATGCAACTCCATTCCGGGAGCCAACACACTGGCTTTTGTTTGAGCTTGTGCTCCTAACAAATCGTACACGTAAGCCTTCACATTGGTGAGATTCGACACTTAAGGCACAAAATTCCACCAAGTATTCGTGACGGTTTCACACTGCTCAATCCCAGTCACGGTATAAGACTCGTGTGACTAGACCCTTTATGCGGTTTGACCCACCCGAATCCCTTGTAAGTGGCTCCTGCGTAAGTGCCATTAGGAATGTGTAACTTGTGATTGTTTTTTGCCGGGAACTGGAATGTATCCCCCGTTGTAATAAAAGCGGTGCCCAATCCATATGATAACGTGTCGCGTGTTTGTTTATAAAAAGACCTCGTTTCACCCACATTAAAAAACCGACAGGTGTCAACAAACGTTCTGTTAGATAAGACTTCAAGCTATACAAGTAGTAAGTTAGGCTTGCGGTTGCACCATGTACAAGAAAATATCTCTTTTATGAGTGTGTGGTTCTGAGAAGAACCGATGGTGGACATTCGACATTCCGAACAGTATGCTCTGTTCGTCCTCAGGAGGGTGATGTTTTGTTGTCATATTGGTTGTCGTAATGTTTATTTCAAGGTCAAAGATGTCATTGCCCAGTATGGGTACAGTCATGTCGTGTAAAGTACAAGTGAAGTTGAAGCAAGGCAGATACATAAGAGGTTTTGTCGTTGGGAGATCCCAGTCGACCCCACTAGCCGTCGATGCACACTACACCGCATAATTAACTGATTTTGATAAAAAGTCAAAGGATCGCTGATCAAATGATTCACGGCTTTGTCCGTTGTTACGCGTGGGGTTTAAACACCTTCATTAAGTTGGGAAACTCGGCAAAAATGGTGTTGACCGTTTTTAGAAAGGTGTTTGAGAAAATAAAATGATAAAACGAGGGAAAACACAGTTTTTACTTGCCTAAAAACAAGACAGATGTTTAAATTTGCCAGACGTCATAGAAAACATAGACGGTTATAGGTATATTCGCGTTAAAAAAAGTAGTGTTTCTCTCTAGGTATTACTAACGCCAACGAATCGATTGGCAAATGCACTGAGATGGCAGATCCGCTGAAAGAAGACCCGAAGAAACCCATCCAAGTAAAGTCAAATTCACCTAGAGAAGAGAAGATCTTGATGAGAGCATTTTCATTCGATTACATTCGTAGTACCAATAAAAGAATTACACGGAACACCAGAATGATTCTGGGTGGAGATGATTCTAATTCACACTGTTGTTTCTGAGGAGATAGCAGGTGAAGGAGGGACCTTGTGGCTGCGATGGGGCGGGGAGCCTAGGGAGTGATTTTAATTTTCACTTTTATTTCTGTGGATCTGGTGTAAAGGGACTTGTGAGCGCGAAGGGACTTGTGGGCGTGAAGGGGGCTTGTGGGCGATAAGGGGCTTGTAGACCCCCCGGATAGAGGGATGGATAACTATGGGAGGATACAGGTGGAATGGTGTGTTTGGCACAGAATGGTAATATCTGTACTACTGTGGTTTTTGTAATATGCTTATGAAGGGGTTAATCTGCTGCAAAACTTTCCACCATTGTGTGTACGACATAAGATGTTACAGTGCTCATTATGAAGGTCATCAGATCACAACAGGTGTAGGTAATATGGGACAGCAGTATGGCGGCCATTGTTGTGTATGGTTACTATCATGCACTGCAGTAGTAGTTGGTTATTGGTCTGCTGTTGTGTTTTAGGTAGATGTAGCTCACACCTGTTTGAGAAGGATTTCATATCAGGCCCATAACTAGAGGGGTGCAGGGGGTGTGTCAGAACCCCCTCTCCATGACTAAAAGGTCCGCTTTTGAGGCAAGAAAAGATTTTGAGTTATCAAAGAACATTTTGCGCAAAAACAAAAAAATGCCGCACGCTTTGGTATTTTTCGCCTCGGTCAATCCATTATTCTGGAGTTTTCTTGTAACCCCCTAAAACATTTGGTACGACCTAATGAATTCTGCTGTTTTTCAAAACAAAAAACCAAAGATCTATACTTATTCGCTTTGTTGAGGATTTGCACTACCCTCCCCCGAAAAGTCCTAGTTACGGGTCTGCATATTTAATATTCACGTGTGTCCAACTGCTAAGTGTATAAATTTGAAATTACATTGCCCTTTTTCCAAATGCCTTGGAAAATAATGTGAATTTTATCTGTCCTGTATTACCTATGGTAATTTAGAGGCCTTTGATGATGATGTCAGTAATCCTCATTATATCATTAAACAGTTCGAGTCATTATGTTATACTTCTCAAAAGAGTTCACAAACAAACTGTTTGTACGTATTCATGTTTATGCAAAGTACCGGTATGCAAATGAACTTCAGGGTCTCTTACCCCTATCTTCAATATGTGTCCTTTCTAGTTGCTCTCGGGTTTGGCGCCAAAATGTCGTCCAGTGTGAACAACATTTTTGCTGCTCTCAATCTTTTCGTCATTATCTACGTCATCGTTTGCGGCATGTTTCGATTGGATACCAGCTATTGGCACATTCCCGCTGTGGAATTGCCGAAGGGTCCATGCAAGGCACAACCCGACAACCAGACGTCCCCACCGCAGTGTGAAAATTACGGCAGCGGAGGTTTCATGCCGTATGGATTCAGCGGGGTTATGGTTGGAGCGGCAATGGGATTCTATGGTTTCATTGGATTCGATGTCATTTCAACAGCCGGTGAGTTCTCACAATGAAACACAAATTCTGCATAGCACTTCCATCGGACCTGTGTACAAGTGGTGCATAGTCCGAGTGGCGCATTACAGAAGCATTATAGAGTGACCACCCACGATTCCACGTTTCTGAGATACTTTATCTTGGAAAGACAAAATACTGAGATAAAAAGTCTTTCTGTGATATCGCTTCCGGGTAAGATATCCCTCCCTGATATTATATCTGGGAAAGACGCCTTTCCCCAATATCGTATCTCAGAAAGATGTCTATCCCAGATACGATATCGGGGAAGGACATCTTGCTCAGAAAGACATTTTATCTCAGTATTCTGTCTTTCCGAGATAAAGTATCTCAGAAAAGTGGAATCGTGGGTGGTCCCTCTAAGCTTCCGTAGTGCATAGGACCCTGAGGTACACAATTATAGAGGAGACCCAATATGACATGTTTAGTGTCGATCTGCGTACTTGAAAATGCATTTGAAAATGAGGCTGTATGTGCCAGCTTCACACGCACGATATACACGATAGGTATGCACTCTCTGCCACAAATTGACGCTGTGCCGACTGCTCACGATTCTTAGTCGTATTATTATCAGACTATTGAAAGTAAGGAGTCAAGACACAAAATACATGTTAAATTCAGACTTTTCAGGCTGCAAATTTTGGTGGAAGAGTCTTTCAGGATGACTTGACATGCGGCTTGAGAGCTGACGTGATCCTTGGCCCATTGCTATGACGTTACTCCCCGGCCTGAGGAAATGTAGAAAACCTGAGTCGGCTTTGACTTTCCTCACACTGCTTGCCAATCCTTTTTGCTGCAAAACCTAGAATCCATCCAGTTAAATACCAGTACCTATTCTTTCATGATACATGCGACTGAACCTTTGTAAACAATTTCGTCGTCATGAAATTCTGGCCGATTCTGGCTGTATTAATTTTGAGCTACATGTATGTGTATGCAGCCAGAAGATTCGTAACATCAAAAGAAAAAATGAGGGTAATTTACCACGAACGAGCGTACTAGTCGTGTATCTGCATGTAAACTGTGTCGAGTCTGCAGGCGCACGTGATACGAAGTTCAACACAGAGCGTCTCGGTTTCGATGCAGATATGCGCAGACAGTGCTAATGTGAAATCCTTCTATTTAATACAGCCTGAAAGTAAAAGGTCAAGTAGAAAGCTTCAGGAAACCCTTGCCTATTACATTGGGCCATCTTATCCCGTTCAATAATTTTTGGAAGAATGAGTCCTAGTTGAATCACCCCATAAAACACTCATTTTACCTTAGTTTTCCTCAAGTAATATTTAGGAAAAGTCACCTGGAGTTGGATAAAAAAACAAATTTTATTAACGACATTTTGCTTCCGGTGGTATCGTACTGTAGGTCTCCTTGTCCATGAGTAGTAATGGTAGTTATTATAGATCAGTTTGACCTCTGACCCTTGACCTACTTCCGGTGCAGTATAGATCAGGTTGACCCCACTTCCAGTCACGTGTAAGTCACGTGATAGTTATTTTTAGGTTCAGAAAGGTCGGTGGGGTTAGTAGGTCAAAGGTGAGTAGTAATCGGTGAATGGGTGAGAGGTCGACGGAGATGGTGGGCATAACCGCGACAACGGTCGAGGAGGTGGAGGGGCTGGTTAAAAGATGAAAGCAAGAAAATCGAACGTACTCACCTGAATTTGCCGCATGTCGCGCCGCGTACTCTAAAATGGAACTGCATCACAGACACGTAGACTGACGCAGAGACAGATAAGGATTTATCTCTTTTGTGAACATTTGTGACCCCGGATCGGGGTCTTGTAGAGAGGCCCAGAAAATCCAAAGCTCTCATTCCAATGACAGAATAAAAGTCTTCAAACAACGGGGATCTCCAAGGAGAAGACCAAGAAGGGGAATGACATCCAGTCCTCTGTCGTCCGCTCCGTCGGCTTTTTGACGGCTGACTGAAGCTCCTTCAGGATGGTCCTTCCCGCCAGCTCCTGCAAGGTCAGAATAGACATGGGGACAAGGCCTGTCGGGCTGTGCACTCCATGTTGATGAACCCGCGCCTGTGTACCATGTAGCGCTGCAGTTCCACGGGTATGAGAAGCATTCTTGCCAGGGTTTCTGTCACTCGGTAGTATCTCTGTTTGGTGGTCTGGAACCAGCTGCGAGTTACAGCCGCCTCGACTGCATATAGATATCTAAATATCTAAATATCTTTAGGCTCATGGTGCTGCCCTGCAGCTGATGGTGGTTGCCGTACCATTTCCGGTAGCGACCGCACCGAGCTCGCTCCTACAGACGATACAGCGTGAATAGCACGACCCACTGACCCTTCTGGCAGTGGCGAAGAGCCAGCCTATTGAAAGTGTTGCTATTCGCAATGATGACGTTGGCGTCAGCGAAATAGTCTATATTGTCCAACATGGAAAAATATAGAAAAGTGATCATGGTCTTAGCCATCCATTGACCGGAATCGAGGAGACGTTGGCCTTTGTTTAGGGCTTTTTGGAACTCCATGCTGATTCTTTGAAGTAATGAAATACTCGACCGTTTCAGAGCGAATAAATTGCCTTTGTCACTTTGTGCGCTAATGGATTTTATACAAGCACAGCATTTGTGTAATGGAAAAAACAGAAAAAAACCAAAATAATTCAGAATGAATAAAAAATGCGAGCACGAAGAATTGAATCGGACGGTCTCAGTATGTACACAGCTGCACCGTCAGGCAGACGTTCCCCCACAGAGATGTGGCTTAGAAGAATTATTGAAATTCCAGCGACGGTCTGCAGCTCGTTCAGTCTAAGGAGCTGTTTAATGCCATCTGGTTCAAGGGGGAGGAAGCTCCACAGAAGTTGTTCTTGTATTTTTACGACAGCCACTATGCGGTTACAAGATCCATGACAAGTTTTCTGTGCAGATCGTACTTTTGCGACGTTTGTTTCCGAGGATACGACGATAAAAGAAAACACAAATGCACGGCTAAGTGTCTGTGTTGTTACCGGTCTTCTCCTGACTGCGATTTTACGGGTTGGGTTGACTGCCCAGACTGTAACAGGATGTTCAATATTCCCTCGTGTTTCGAAAAACATAAGGAATCACACTCAGTCTGTCGTGGCCTTGAGGTGGTTGAAGTGGGTAGCACACTCCAGAAACATCCGTATCAGGCACGTGCTCAACGGCACGAGAAGACTATGTTCGAGTTCCACGGTTGTCTGTGGCACGGATGCCCAAAATGTTTTACGCGCAGAGACGTGACAACCCCGCTTACTTCGCTGAGCATGAGAGACCGCTATGAAGCCACCGTTCGGCGTACCTTGGATCTGAGACATGCCGGATATAACGTGGAAGAAATGTGGGAATGCGACTCTCAACGAATGGCAGACAGTAATGCAGATCTACGAGTATTTTTAGATGATCTTCAAGAGGACGCCCAAGATGTGATCCCACCCCTCAATCCAGGAGACGCTTTCTTCAGAGGAAGAACAAACACTACCAGGTTATATCACAAGTGCGGTCCGGATGAAAAAATAAAGTATGTGGACGCGTGTAGCCTCTATCCCTGGGTTTGCAAGTACGGAAAGTTTCCCCTGGGTCATCCCAAGATCATCACGGAGAATTTCGCAGCATCCATTGACGATTACGAAGGATTTGTGAAAGCCGAAGTCTTACCATCGAGAAAGCTGTACCATCCCGTTCTTGCACGCCACGCGGGCGGCAAGCTCATGTTTGCTCTGTGTGGAGAGTGTAGTGAAACTCAACAGATGACCCTCTGCGAACACGAGGACTCTCATAGAGCTATCACTGGTACGTGGGTCACGGACGAACTGAAAAAGGCTGTGTCATTAGGATACCGCATTGTCCAAATTCTTGAAGTGTGACACTTTGAGGAAACCGAGCAGTATGACCCTGAGAGTAAAACAGGGGGGTTAATTTACGGGCTACATCAACGCCTTCCTGAAGCTTAAACAGGAAGCTAGCGGGTGGCCTCAATGGTGTGACACAGAGGCAAAGAAAAACCACTACATTCGCGACTACGAGCTTCACGAAGGCATCAAGATCGACCCCAAAAATGTCAAGAGAAACGCGGGTATGAGGGCTGTGGAAAAGTTGATGCTCAACAGTTTTGGGGGGAAATTCGGCCAGAGAGAAAACATGCCGAAATCTGTCCACGTGGATTCCCCAAAAGATTATTTCGTGTTGCTTCTCGATATCTGAAAGACCGTCAACCGCGTTGACTTTGTGAACGAGGAAGTCTTGCAGGTCCGGAGGCAGCAGAACGACGACTTTGTAGAGGCAGCGGGAAATACCAATGTGGCTATTGCAGCCTACACTACGGCACAGGCTCGGTTGTAGTTGTACTCTTTTCTGGAGCGTCTGGGTGAGTGTGTCCTTTATTACGACACGGACAGCATCATATACGTCGTCGATCAATGATGGACAAGGTCAGTACGAACCTCCTCTGGGCGACTACTTGGGCGACCTGGCCGACGAGTTAGAGAAAGACTACGGACCGGGAAGCGACATCACTGAATGTGCTTCTGGAGGGCCAAAGAACTACGGGTACAAGGTTCTCAGCACCCGTTCAAATAACAAACTTGCAGTGTGTAAGGTACGGGGAATCACTCTCAATTACCGCAACAGAGGGATTGTCAACTTCGAATCCTTTAAAGAGATGGTGTTGTCTGACGCCGAGAGAGGCGAGGAAGAAAGAGAAAACAAGAGAACCGTCACTGAAACTCACAAAATAGCCAGAGGATCGCAGGGTCAAGTGATCACTACACAGGAGACAAAGAAGTACAGGCTGGTTTAAAACAAACGGGTGAAGACCCACGATTTTAACACTCTTCCCTATGGATACTAACATCACTCTTCTCGCGCCCCTCCCCCTTTTTTTTACCTAACGCTACGTCATTTAAATGATCACGAATCAGTTATTAATACGTGCGATGTCCTCGATTAAATCACTTGAACAGATGGACGAGGTTCTGAAACGTCCATTTAGTTGCGTAGTCGCAG